ATTTTTTTTCAAACCGGCCTTTATCTTCCTAGGGCTTTCAATTTCCTATATACAGCTGTTGTAATATATTCGAATTACTTGACTGTGTTTGTTCATTCTTATACATTATACAGAGTTCAATATATCAAATGATAGTTTTAATTTTTTTTTAAGCCAGCATTGACCATCTTGGCTTGAGATCTAGTCAGTGGCGTCCTGGTCTAGCTAGCATCCCATCGAACTTCTTTCACAATCCCCTCCCTCCCCGGTGAACACTTGTTAAATGCTAATTTTTATTGGTCCAAAATGAGATTAATTACAAACATTACATGGGGAGATATGGGATTATGTGGCATAATAGAATATGGAATGAGACGAGAAAGCACAACAAAGCGATGGCAAAAATAATAATAAATGATCGTATAATTTCTCATAAAATGGAATTTCACTTTAGATGCTTACCGATAATTAACGTAATAATATAATTACAATAAGGCAAAATAGAGTTTAAAATGTCCCTAAATTATTCTTTATTATCACGAATATGCCTATAATTATAATGAGGAAAGGATTACGAAGTTTTATTGTTAAAAGAATTTGTCAAATTTAGTGATAATACATTTATTACATTAGAACTTTGACAAATTATTAAGCAAAAAATGTGTTTTGTGTGAGTACGTGCACAGTAAGGAAATATTATTCTTATGAATTGAAATTACTAGTATCTTAAGGCACTAGGTATTTTTAAATTAGTTTAATTTTGATATCTTGTGTAAAACTTTTTATCCCATCAATCAATTAGAACTTAACTTAGATATGAATTTTAAAGAAATTATTATAAAATTTAACACATTTTTATATGACAATTCATGAGTGAATGATAATACAAATTTTTTTTTTACGTTGTTAGTGCATCTTTTGAATTTAAACAAAACTTAAATCAATGTAACAGTATTTAAAATTATAGATTATACAATTTATGTAAAATTTTTAAATATATAAATATAGATATGTATTAGATAAAAATGTTTTAGGATTATAAAAATAAAGAGTTGGGTAATTAATTTAAACGAATTTAACAAAAAAAAGACAGGAGAGAATAGGCTAAGAGATAAATTTTTCAACAGAACACTCTAATTTATAAAAACGAGTTTTAAAAATAATTAATTTAAAAGTGCGTGCAACTATAGTGCAGAAAAAAGGGGGAGGTAATGTAAAAATAAAAGTAATTGATTTAAGCATATACGTACGCAGTTAACATTGGAAGATAGATAATACAATTTGATATTTAACAAATAAAAATTAATTAATTTAATAGTACAATTAGTTAGGATTTTGAAAAAAAAATATTAGAAAATTTTGGAGATAATTATTTTGAGACTTATAAGAAAAACATAAAAAAAATAAAATACATTGTAATGATAAAGTTACATGTCTTGTAAAAAAAATAAAAATGAGAGCACGATATGACATTTGTCTTAAAAGAACCGAAAGCAGATTCGACTCTCCTAAAACGGTTTGGATAAACATAGAGAATGACATTGAACTAGCTTTATAGAATGGGACCAGAACTTCAAAAAAAATTCAGAATGGGACCAGTTCAAAGGGATGAACGATTTTCACGGTCGTGTCTTACTCTTGAAAATAATTTCAAGAGCTGGAATTTGGTATGTACCAAAACAAAATATGAAATCTTGAGGGCAGGGTCAACCTCATAAGCAAACTTTTAGTTGATAAAAGACAAAAAAGAAGCCACTGACACACTATAAAATGAAACCAGCTCAAAGGGAATGAACTCTTTTAAAAAATATCGACAGTTTTTCTAAAAGGATTATTTATATATTTAGCTCTTTAATGAAAATTATGTTTAATTTTAGTCTTTTATTTTTTAATCAATTAAAATTTTATGTTCAATTTTTTCATTCAAAATCTTTAAAAATGAACTGATTAAATCACATGTTATAAATTCTTTCAAAATTTATCAAGTTTTTACTGATTTTTTTGTTTTTGAACTTCAAATTATTTCATATTTTAATTCTATGACGAATTCTCCAAATATTTAAGTAAAATAAAAATAATATTTTTTTTTCATAATTTTAAAAATACTGAATTAGTTTTTTTTTAAAAAAAACTAATATTTGTTTTCTTTTTTAAAAATAAAATATAATACAGATTTATATTATATTTTATTTTAAAAAGAGAACTATTTTTAAAAAGAGAAAAAAATATCTTGTTGATAATTTAAATTTTATTTAATCATTTTTACGCTGTAATAAAAAAAAAAATCACTGATCCATGAAGCCTCGATTATTTAGAAAAGTATTTGAAAAGGCTTCTCAGAAATTTATAAAAAAAATAATTACAACTTTTGTAAATTTATTTTAATAACTTTCATAATAAAAACTATAGAATAAATGTTGGCACGATGAAAGGGTTTTTTAAGTTCTCTGTGTTCGACCTAAGAACTGAATAAAGTTGAGTTATAGTTGGAGATTCCATGGCAGTGCTCAGCGTTGGCCAACCCCACAATTTCAAAGTGAGTCATCGTCGGCAAAATTTGGCTTCGCGTTTGTCATTTTCCCCAAAACTTTTCGAAGTTTAGGAGACAAAATTCAGATAATTGAAAATGGTCGGCTGGAGAACATGTATTTATCATTAATAATTTTATATACAATTATTTTTATTAATTTAATTATTTAATTATCTTTATATATATTATTTAGATAGTTTATGTAAAAATTGAATAATGAAAAGAAACAAATAAAAAAAATTCTTATTTTTATGTAATTTAATAATATATATTGTATCAATTTTGCATATAAATAAAGTATAAAATAATTTAAAATAAATCTAAAATTTTTCTTTATTATTTATAAAATGAAAACGTATAACACAATATTAATGAAAAAAAATGAGGAGTCCCTTTAATAAAATAAATAAAATTAACGTACGTTAACTTATGAAGATTCAGTTAGAATATTTTCTCACCTATTAAATGTATATTCAACTTAAAATAAAATAAAATACACTAATGACTCATTAGTTAAATAATCTATTGTAACAAAATATTTATACATGTAAAATAATTATAAAATTATTTAGACCTCGTTTATTAATTTAAATAATATTTGTTACTTCTTACATCATACTCTAAAATATGCCTCAAAACTTAAAAGAATTAAACTCATAAAAAAAAATCTAAAATGATAAATAAATTTTTATAAAACTAAACTCATATATTAGAATTGATTTATTTAATAAAAAAATTGTATTTAGATTTTATTGTATATAATTTTTTTTCAGTCAATCGTAATAATGAATTATCAGTGAAAATTAGTTTTAATATTTTTTATTTTAAAAAATCTATAAAAATGTAATATCTCACATGCTAAAGTGAAAATCCGATATTCTTAATTAAACTCTATCCAACTTATGTTATATTTAAAAGATAATTCAATTAAAGAAACTAACTTGTTAAATTATATAATTTATAAATTTATTATTTTCACTATTTTTAGTATTTATTTATTGAGTGAGCTAGGATGTATAATTGACGTATCCACAAATGTACTGAATCAAAAGTATTAATATTTATCGGCCAAGTATCAATAATATTATAATTTTTTAATATCAATTTAAATTTAAACATTTAAAAATAAAAAAAATCTTTAAAAGTATATTTATTATATTAAAATAAAAAATACAATAAATAATTTTCAATGAAATTTTATTATTATTGATTTTTTAAACTTATCATTATAATAAAGTTTTGTTAAACTATCCAATTTTTACTGTACAGAACCTTCTAAACTTTCACAGAGCCGATATCCACACCGAAATATATCACTGTCTTTGACGCCTCTAGGCAAGAAGTACACAACATAGTGCTTTCCAGGTTAGTTTACAATTTTTTTTTTCTTGTATATATTAGTTAATAAAGACAATTGCATGTATAAGAATGTAATAAACATATTTAGAGATATGGGTATATTAAAGTGTAAAGTTCAAATTTTATAACCCTCTTGTAACAGTCGATAAATTCTGTTCACAATTGAATTTTTGAGCTGTGTAGGTATATTTCGGGCTTATTCAATAACTACAAGAATTAATTTCTACAAAAAAAATTGATAATTTATTACAGTCATTAAATTCCTATAAAATTATGTAAAACTATCCTCCTCCTTTTTTTTTTTTTTCTAAATCAATTGGAATTTGGAAAAAATGCAGTTTTAGAAAATTGAACTATTTTACTAATGCTCTAATAAAACAAGAGTGTTCTTGGATATCTAGAGATACGGTTATACTGTTGTAGAAGTTAGATAATCCTTACTCGAGATCTTTCCAAGCTTTGATCATTTTTCAACAATATAATTGTGTTTATATATATATAAAACAAATAATCGACGAAAGGTTTTATGAAACCTTTAGTCATTAACCTTTTCATTTTATGAGAGTATTATCCATTGAGTGCATATTTACCATTTTGTTAAAAAATGTTTTGGAAACATTAACTTGTCTAATCTATTTTGTTTTAATTCGTTAACATGTTTTGGAAACAAACCTACTAACCTAGTCAAATCTTATTTTTAACGAACGTGTTAATATTTTTTTACAAAATGAAAGTAGATAGTTAATACAGTTGAAAAGTAAAATGTATATCATCATCAACACGTTGATACAAAAAGAAACCCCGTTTACTTGTGATGGCTTGAATACATTAGCAGTTTGGTAACAAAAAACTTGTTAATTTGAATTGTAAAGTAATCAATCAAAATCGAGAGATAGGCATCAAATATGATCATAAGATCTTTCTTCAAGTCACATTTGTAAATTTGGTTTACAAAGACATTTGAGAATCATAATTTTTTGACAAATATATTTTAAGTCCCTTATCAAATACAAGAAAGGCTATAGAGTAAAAGAACAAATATAACCAAGAGAAAACAGATCTAGATTGAAGACAAAACACATATATAACTTATACAAGAGTTTATGTTGGTTGAAGTTAACTCTCTTCTTAATTAGTCTTTGTGAGGATAAAGACGAATTGGAAGATCCTTTGCAGGCATGGGTAAGGGATCAACGATAATTTTTTCATCTGGAATCAACTTTTCCCATTTGAACCTCTTCACTATGTTGTGCATGAAAACAAGTATTTCCAATCGGGCATACTCTTTTCCAGGGCACATCCTTGGTCCTCCACCAAATGGTACAAAAGTGTAAGGAGCTGGCCCTTTCCCCTCGAATCTACTTGGATCGAATTTCTCTGGCTCTGGAAAATATTTTGGATTTTTATGTGTTGAATTTGCACTCCAATACAACTACATACATAACAAAAGAACTAAATTAGTTGACCTCAAAAAAGCATGAATATTCATGTCCTATACAACTATATAACAATGAACAAACCCATGTAATCGCATAGCATTTACAAAGCTAACTCTATAATACTGCGCCACTAAAGAAATGCCGCGTACTTATATTCATAATTGGATTAATTAGAATAAAAAGCAATTCAATAATATAACATTATGACTTTATACTGACAATGTAATACGTTATACTAATCCATAACTTTATTTGTGTAAAAACCGAATAGGTACTTATAGTAAATCAAATTTAGTTTAATCTATTATGTTATTAATGTATTTTATATCAATAGTTTAATTATTATTAAATAAAAAAATCAACTATAAGATAATCCTATTGTCTAAGATTTTTTGGTTAATAAATAATATATTTTTATTTTGTAATTTCTCTTTAAATAAAAGAAAAAACTGATAGAAGCAAAACAAATGACATGAGCTTCAAACCGTAACTACCGCCAAAAGAAAAAGGAAAGGGCATAAATATACGTGCGTTTTAAGAAAATTCTACGTTTCTATTACCTTCCATCCCTTTGGAATTGAGAAGCCATTAAAAATGAAGTCATCAATGGCTTCCCTGAAACCTCCTTGAAGAGGAGGAGCAACTCTCATTACTTCACAAGCCACATTCCAAGAATATTTCATCTTGTTGATGTCATCCCAATTTAACAACTCTCCTGGGGATTTTGATTTTGCAATCTCCATTTGCTCTAAAAAAGTTGCACAAAAGAACATATATAAGTATATATCATAAACAATCACGGCATGTACTCATCTATGTGCATAATATTATATATATTATACAAATATATGAGTTTGTCAGGCTCGGTCTTGGTAAACAAATTAATTCGAGCTCCTCTTTTAATGCATTAGTGTTTAAAACTGAGTTTTTAAATAAAACATTCTTAAATTTTGTTTTAATTAAAAATTAAAAATAAAAATTTTCAATTCTAGTTTTGGGCTTGACTTAGTTATTAAGATTTATTCAAGCCCTCGATCAAGTGTTTTGATCTGTGGAGGAAATTGTGAATCCCAAGTATTCTGTAATTGAGGATAAAGTATGCATAATATAAAACAAAACATAATATTGCAAAAGACATTAATGAAATGTTCTTTTCAGGATGAAGTGTCGTAAAAGAAAGGTTTATTGTCGAATTACATAAAATAGTTTTACTATATATTTAACAAAAAAAAATATTTGTAGTAAGAAAATAATAGTGCTTGCTTATACGCTTGAAGTGCCTAAAGTGGGATTCTTCCAAATTTTAACAAAAATAGAAAGAAATTAATAGAGCAACAAACAGCCGCATAATGATGAAATCAGCCTTGATAGTTTATTATGGAAAGGTAGTTTGTATTTCCAATGTAAACCGAATCATATGAATTCGGTGAGAGTTTGACGTACGTTGAGGGTAATGAAATCATGAACATTTTGACTTGGAGACTTTATAGTTGACTTTAGCACTAATGAGATATTTGTTTGCATACTATAATAATCTTATGAATCACTTTCTAAAATATTACTAGATTTTTTCAATCTGTAAATACAAATCATAGTTAATTAATCTTAACCTTTTAAAAATATTTTGTAAAATTTAAGTAATGAAGGGGGAAATGAGAGTAAAATATTAGTAGTTAAATTATAAGATAAATTCCACTCTCATGTCATGAAAATAGAAATAAAAATTGAGTAAAATATAAAAATGTTATTTTTAAAAGGCTTCAGCCAAATATAGACATTAATATCATATTCTCAAGTCCAATTTCATAATCATACAAGGACACCATAATCTTTAAAATAAATGCACCCTCACCGAGAGGAAAAGAATAAGAACAATTTCATTAATTTTCATTTAATAATTTGGTTTTGTTATCTTTTTTAACTTTTCTACCAACACAGTTTTAATTCTCTGTATTTCGTTTTTCTTTCCAAAGACTTGCGTATCAAACACTAAAGAAACAAGCATCAAATTTTAAAGTTGTTCTGAGACATAAATTTTTTAAGAAAAACACCAATAACTATATTAGTAAAAATCTCATTAGTTAAAATTTCAAAACCAATTAAGGAATTTACAAATTTTTTGAAAAATTATTATCAATTATAAATTTTATTTAACTATCAAATATACTTTACGCCAAATTAGAACATATGATATATAAGAAGCACCAGCTATTATTAGAGGTCGATGAACAAAATATTGATATTAACTTTTAACAAACTAAATTAGAAAAAAAAAAAATGTTAATTTCAGACTTTAAAGTAAGTTAAAGCAATTAATAGTAATTTATAAAAATTGAAGTTAAAAAAAATAGAAAAATTAATTATAGACTCACCCTCATAGACTCTATCATAAATGTGAGGAAGCTCAGCAAGGTACTTGACAATAAAAGTGCATGCGGCACTAGCAGTGTCATGGCCTCCAATCAAAAGGCCAAGAATCTTATCAGCAATATCAAGCTCATTCATAAACTGTCCATTCTCATTGCATGTCAACAACATATGAGATAATATGTCTTGTGTTGGTGACGCCTTCCCTTGAGCCAAATCAATCTTCCTCTGTCTAATGATCACTAACAACTCCTTTCTGATGGTGTTGGCTGCTTTGATTGCTTTGCTGAAAGGTGTTCCGGGAAGATCAATAGGCATTGATATGATCCCAGATGCCAACAAATGAAAAGGGTCTGCGAATTTTGCTACGTGATCCACATCCTCAACGCTCATGAACAAACGACAAGCCAACAAGAAAGTATACCTGTTGAGAATTAACTCATGCACCTTACTTACAAGATACTTGGACCTCTCATGTAATAACAAAGAATAAAATTATAATTTTATTAACGTTAATCTTTAAAATAAATTCTAATTATTTTAAATATTTAAAAAAATCTTAAGGACTAATATGAAATTGTTTATAAAATTAACACAAATGTAGTACATAAAATGTGAAATGAACGATTATAAGTTAGTTATATCTGATGAATCCCAAGGCAAAACCATATATGTAACTTAGTTAAAGAAACAAAATTTAGGTGTAGATTTTTGTTATTTTTAAAGTAAAATTAGATTTCAACTTTAATATCTCATGATAATATTGTATTAGATCTTTAATGGAGATAATTTTGATAAAAAAAATTGAAAATTATATATAAAAAGATTACATCTAGGTTTTATCAATAATTAAAGATACAAACACATAGGGATACACTTTTTTGTAAAAGACATGTATACAAAAACAGTATTATATAAAAAATTATTGTATAATTCGTAACGTGATGGAACGTAGTTAAAGCATGATTAATAATGATATATAGGAGTATCAGTGAAGAAATTAAGGGATTGAATTTGACGACCTTTTGGCCAAAGGATAGACGGTGACGTGGGTGGTGTTGTGCCAAAGGCAGGCAAAGTGCCTCTGAGCTATGGTGTCCATGATAGCAACGTAGCGTTGAAGAGCTTCGGGTTTAAGGAACTGAGGGAGCAACTTTCTCATCTTTTTTGACTCTTCCTTAGAGCTACTCTGAAGTGAAGTGGGAAACACCTTGTTCACACTATCTGGCCACCACGCTGTCACAAGCTTGTTCTCGTTTGAGAACAAAAACTTATTGCACACAGCTCCGCAGAATATCACAGCTGGTTCCCCAAGTATTGATGTTTTGAACAGTTCCGAAGAGTACTTCATCATGCGGTCGAAAATGAACTTCTCTGGATGACCCTTCCATCCCGTCGATAAGAACTCTAGGCTCTCACCGATTACCGGGTAACCTATTCTTCCCGGCGGCAGGTTCGGGGCAGTGAATGGTGACCTATGCTTGTAGAAAAGGAAGAAAAGGGAGAGAGACACGAAAGCAACGAAGAGGAGCAAGAGGGAGAGGTACAAGTGCTCCATGCTTTTCGTGTGATTTTCAGTTTGTTTTTTTTCAATGTTTCAAGAGATACGAGCTTCTTATATTGTATGCTGCAATGGCAATTGGCGTGTGTCTTCGGTCCCGCCATTTATAGGCACAATGTTAGGGGGTACGCAATTTCGTGGGTCATAATATCGACAGAGACAGATAATTTTAGAGATGAAAAAAATATACACAAATAAAATTTAGGTATAATAATGCGTCTTATAATTGGTATTTTTTAATTAAAATTAATGTTGGTGTACTAATATTTATTATTAAGTTTTATGATGTAAATTATTAAAGTAAATTTTAATTTTAAGACATTACACTTAATTTTTGTAAGTTAAATACTAACTCTTATTATGTAAATAAAAAAAAATTCTTATATAAATTTAAAAATTCTTACAATTAATTTAAATATTTTATTTATTTTATATTAATTAACAATATAAAATTTTAATTTATTTAAAAATAATATTAAAAATATTTATTGTATTGCTCTAAAATTCATAAATGTATAAAAGAAACGAAAGTGGTGCCAATATACAGTAGTTACAGCGTGGAAGAGTCAAAAAATGTAGCTGATGCTCATCCTTTCTCTTTGATTACGCCATTTTGCAATTATTGTGTGTACGAGTATGTGCATTAGCGGCAAGAAAATATGAGCCTAATAACCGAGTTTGGCAAAATCCAATTAACACATTCATTGCAGCAATGGGGATAATGTCAAGGATATTTATCTTTACCTACTTTTCGGAATACTGAATTTAATTCAAGTCCTTTACCTTTATACCTTATACGTTTTTCCACTCTATCAACGTGTGCGTGAATAATTCTAAATTCTAGGAGGATATAGCAATTGCGTATAAATGAGATTAAATAAATAAATTTAATCAACCACCCGATATTGTGAACATTAATTCCTCCTTATTCCAACTTTCAAGTGCTTAATTACAATTTATTATTACTTTCGATCATAAGACAAACTTTACTAAGATTGCGGCATTAACACAAAACCACCAAAATAAATTATCAAGTTATTAGATTATATACATAATAATAACAAATTAAAGCTTTTTGATGAGGTGATTTATTTTATATTAATGACTTCGTGTAATTTTTTCAACTTGTGACTATATTGTCCAATGATAACGGAAAAATATACTTAGTTTTTTCTATGGACAAAACTATACTTAATCACTTTTAAACTATGCAAACAAGATGAAAATATAATGTGCACAAAAATCTGGAATTAAATTCTCTAACTCATTATGATCATACTAGGCATTTTATTGCTTTAATTTATCTTGTTAGTACTTCACTGCTGGATATTGTCATTTAATTAGTTATACCTTCGCAAATGTAGCCGATACTTCTAATAACAAAGTCCATTTTGAGTGTAAAATCAGTGGAGAGCACCCAATCAAGCTTTGCTTACAGGCATTCACCTTTATTTCATCAAAGTTCGTCTCGTATATACTTGTGTAGGAATGAGCAAATTAAAGCTTAAATTGAATGAGTGGGTCATAATTATAATTATATATTATTTTAAAAAAATAAAATTTAGCTCAGATCCACTGCACCATTGAACATGTTCGTAGCTAAATTTAACATTGGCTCATGAATATGTCACTTTTAACAATACTTTAATTGGTCAACTTTACATTCCAATGTTTTTAGATTAAAAATTGTTTGTCCAAGCCTCCGACGGCTTTCAAAAGCACAGGTTCGATAATTCATAATTATTTTTGATAGATAACTCAATGTAGGCATTAATCATTGCCTTTTTTTCTTTTTGGTTATATATTTTAATTTAATTAGTAAGTTTTAGCATTTTTAATAAAGTTTTAGGGTTTACCGATGAGTTTATTAATTGGAGTATTTTAAGGTTTCATTCTTTTGTTTGTGGAAACATATACATGGTTCTAGGATTATTACAAATATTTTTATAAACAACTAAATGTTAAGATTTTATAATTGGATGTGGTCAGAATGTTCATTCCCCTTATCCTAAACTGATTATTGTTTTTAATAGATAATAAAAAAAAATGGATTATTACTCTATCTTTCCACTAAGCTGATAAATTTTTGTATATATTTTTTTACTATAAAGATATCGTTTGATCCATAATTAGAGATCTTCTCCAAAATACAAGAATTATTAAAATAAACTTTTATCATTCACAATAAGATGTCTTTTATAAAAAATATATATATAAAATGATGTGTTGGGTGAAGGAATACTCTGCCGTAAAAGAAGATATTAATTGCAAGTCACCCACTGATGTGTACACGAATTAGGATCCCTCAAAGTGCAGCTTTGCAAAGCCATTTACAATTTTAAACAAAAACTGTGGGTTTCATTTTCTACTCCAACAAGTAAAGTGCCTGCGTTTCATTTTACATTAAAATGTATATAAATTTAAAATCAATAGAATTTTTATATTACATTATCACTTATAGTGCTTAAAAAATATATAAGTACATTTGATTTTTACTTATTTTATATGTCAATTTTTTGTTAAAAATATAGAATAAATTTACTATAATTAAAAAAATTTCAAATAAAGAGACTTATATGGATGCATTGGTTTTTTTTATCAAGCTAAAACGTTTATATATTTTGTTATATTTACGTATTGTATGGAATTAAAAAAATTAAACATAAATTTATAAAATTTCTCTTATTTAATTTTATATAAAATAATTTCATTATCGATTATGCCTATTAAACGTTTATGTTTATAATGTTAATATATTTTAAACATATTACTAAAATAACCATGTAGTCGTGTAGAAGTGTACACGGGGAAAAAATTATTGTTATTAGTACTTTATGTATGAATATATGTCTTTCTCATGATAAATCTATCATTAATACAACTAAAAATTATGTATCGTATATTTAGTCATCAATCATTTTATTAAGCTAAAAATTCAAATCAAACTGCTTATTGAGTCTAAAAATATAAATTAACACAAGTTTCAACATGAAAATGATAAATTGCATGGTTTGAATAGGTAAAATATTTAGGTCAGAATGTTTCTTGTATTTTATGAATATTTAAGTCAGAATTAGAAATGTATCATGATTTGATAAATTGAAGGATTTGAATAATCTAATTTGATGAAAATTTAAAAATTAACATTTATCGAAGCAAATTTCTTGCATTTTAGTCCTAATTAATCAATCCATCTCTTCGTTGTGTTTAAACTGGTATGCTTAATTTAAAAATGAAAATTGCTGCAACTTAACACACAAAAGTAAATAAAATGAGTTAACCATCTTAAGAATTGTGCTGTTACTTCAATATCATATGCTGGATTAACTCTCTTCAAAACTTATGCAGTGCTATCATGAATTATTATGTCATACTTGGATATGTTATTAAATTTACATTGCAATACAATTGATTCGTTGTTGATATAATGAAACTTTGAATCTTCTTTCACTCGTGCACATGAAGTCAATGGCCAAACCAACCATGCATTTTTTAATTTGTTTACCTTGTTATCACAATTAATCTAACTTCAATTAATTCAGCTCTCGCGCAACACATTCCTCTCGCGCTATACACTGGACCAAGACTAATTAATTAAGTTAAGCAACGACTATTAACAAATAAATAAACAAGTGCACATATTGCATTTATTTTTCTGGACCAAAGAGTAGAAAAGAAAAAGGCGACAAATATAACAACTACATTTCTTGAATAAGGATAAACAAGCCCATTTTATTACTAATCAAGCGTGTATGTTAAGTTTATGGAACTTGAATGTCTCAAGAAAGGCCCATTTTCAAACTATATGTTTTCTTTTATTATATATTTAATTCGTCTACGCACTGAGAAAGCCAATTTTAGTCATGGTCCAATGTCTATTGCCCCTTTTAGCAGTCATGCATGTGAACCTTTCAGTTCCACGATTATTTGTTTGACACAGATATTCGAGGAAAACATACTTATGAAAAATAAGTTAAAAATTTTATAACATTTTAATAAAATTCTTGATACAATTTGTCATATCAACTTATTTTAATAGTTTTATCATTAAATTTATGACATAATTATTTAAATATATTTGTCTCATCTCAACCTGATATAGTTGTTGAAAAAAGCATACTCTATCGGCCTATATATAGTATAAGGTCTGAAGATATCTTTTCAAGGGCTCTTGCAGGAGTTTCGTTGATGACGAACCCTCTAACTCTATTACGTATTAGAATTTTGTTTATTTGTCAAAGTCATTTACAATGACCATGAATTGACTTGGGTTATTTTGTACTCGTTCTCAATATATGAAGACGAGGGATATGTCAATATTTAACCACACAAGAAACAAACTGCTCCAATAATTTACTGCTGGGTATGTCAATGGCACAAGTTAGTAATATCTATCTGAAAATAATTAGTTTCTTGGATCGTTAGCATAAAGATATAATATAAAATAGAAATTTGATGTACTGTAAATTTAATTCATTATTGCGTCCACGTCTTCTTTTTCGTGTGTAAGAGCCTACCCTAGCTAATTAAACTCATCCTTGTAAAATGATATCTTTTTTATGTCTATATCATTAACTAATATAATAAGATGACAATGTTTTGATTTTGTTCACTGACTAAAAAAAATCATATATAATTGATTAAGTTTTGAATGTATCGCTGTTACTGTCCTTAATTATCTAATGAAAAACAGTCTGTTCATATAAATATTGTGAATCTTTACATATAATATGTCAATACATACAATTAACTAACAACTTTTATCAATATGGAGAATTGATCCATATTATGATACATTACATTGTTAATATATCAAACTATTAGTATAAATATATAATATTTATATTAATTTTTATATAAAAAATTAATATAAACAATCATAATGTCTATTTTTTTTCTCTAGCACGTTGATAGTTTGTTGCCGTGAGTATAACTTTAAAAACTACTTTATTTACGTAAGCAATAATTAATTCAAACACCGATCGTGCTGTTAAGTT